ACACAGCAGGGACACCCTGAGGACACAGCAGAGACACCCTGAGGACAGCAGAGACACGTCAAGCGTTGAACGTGGTGTCAGTAGACCTGACCTGCTGGGGGTGTTCACATGTCCTGAGTGTGTCTCTGACAGATGAAGGGCAGTCTGGTGGAGCAGTGAAGGTCGTTCAGGCGTCCATCGTTGTGAAGGTGCGCACAGTCTTCATCCCCAGAACCGAGACCATGACCGGTCCAGCTGTCAGGCTGCCCGGGTTTCCAGCGTCTGCAGAACAAAGATCCAAACTCCTGAGTTGGTCCTGTTCTCCAAACATCAACACTGGGTTGTTGGAGGAAAACCAGAACCAAAGCTCTACCTGCGGTTCATGACGTAAGGCGTCTCGTTGACCCACTCCCACTGTCCTGACTTCTCATCAGATAGACCGATCCAGTAGAAATTACCGGAGGCCATTCTGGTGACAAAGGTCTGGTCCATGAAGACAAAGATGATGATCAGAAAAAGAGTCAGACTTTTTAGGAGCTCAGCTGTTCGCTGCAGATGAGGTGTCTTCATTCCACCACAGATCTGACCTTCTGATCAGCTGATCAGCTGTACTGATCTATTTCAGAAGAACAACCTCTATGTGGACAGTCTGTGGAGGACGACGGACTGTCTCACCCATTCGTCGTCGCTCATCAGTATGACCAGGTGAGACTCGTGTCCGTTGCACCAGTCTCGTGCATCGTGCCAGGGCATGGTTGTCTTGCTGAAGAAGTAACAGCTGGTTCCTAAGTTCTCCCAGCCGAGAGGACAGCAGCCGGCTGAGGTCGTACCTGAGACACACGGGGACAGAGAGGACAACATCTGAGAGTCCAAGTTTGTCTTAAAACATTGAAATCAGAGTGAGGACGTCTGAGAAACGTAACGGCAGGAGGACGTTTTCAGAAGATGACAGTTACAGAAGAGTTGTGTGAGGTGGTGATGAGACGTTCTTTCTCTCAGACAAACACAGGTCTGCCAGAAAAAACAGGATTTGTTTTAATTTGTAACTTGTTAGAAAGAGAGGACGGATCAGAACGTCCTCCACAGTCTCTTCACTCAGCTTGAGTGACATCTTAGAACGGAAACGTAGACAGAATACAGAAGAACCTGTTCGGTGGTGGGGGGTACACATGTTTCAGGATGTGTGTGGTCAGTGTGTGTAGTGTGTCAATCAATCAATCAATCAATCAATCAATCAATCAGTCAGCATTTATCTACAGAGCCCTTTGCAGCAGCCAGGAGGTTCACAAAGCGTGCACAGTACAGAAGTTTAAAACAACACAAACATTGCACCAGGTATTAAAAAGCTTGTTTGAATAAAAAGGTTTCAAGATCAGATTTAAAAAGGCCCAGATCAGTGATGGGGCACAGATCCTGAGATAGATGGTTCCAGAGTCTGGGTGCAGCGACCCAAAAAGGCCTGGTTACGACGTTTATAATTGGACTTTGGGACAAACGGTAATCAGTAGATCAGCTAAACAAGATGGGGCGAGACTGTTCAGAGCTTTTAAAGTGAATAATAAAACGTTAAAATCAATTCTAAAATGGACTGGAAGCCAACGAAGAGAAACTCTAACGGGTGATGTGCTCATGTCTGGGGGTGTTGGTTAAAAGACGAGCTGCAGCATTTTGGACCAGTTGAAGACGTCTGATGGAGGACTGTGAGTTTCCTACATAAAGAGCATTGCAGGAGTCAAGCTGTGAGCTGATAAAAGCACGAATGACCTTCTCCAGGTCAGGACGTTTTAAAAAAGACAACTTTGGTTAAAAGACGTAGCTGATGAAAGTCGTGTCTGGCCATAAGTCATCTAAGTGTCAGCATATACAGAGAAAAAAGGAGAGGACCGAGAATAGAGCCCTGTGGCACACCACAAGAAAGAGGAGCAGTAGAGGAAGACAGATTACCCAACATGACAAAGAAAGTTCTGGAAGTCCAGTAGGAGGTGAACCATGTGAGAGGCGAACCAGATACACCAACACAGTGTTGAAGACGAGAGAGAAGGACGGCATGGTCCGCCATGTCAGAATCAGCTGTGAGGTCCAGTAGCAGACCAACGTGCGTGCGTGCGTGCGTGTGCGTGTGCGTGTGAAGTGTGTACCGTTGTTCATGTAGCGCTCCATGGTACATTTAAGGTTGGCGACCGTCCTGCTGATGGTGTCCAGAGCTGACAGCTGCTTCAGAGCCTCAGAAACTGAGGAAGCATGGACAATCAGAATCAGATAGATGTTTTCCAGCTGTTTGTGTTTCTTCACAGATGTTAATATATTTTCCTGCTGTTTTTCTTCCCTGGCAGATGTTTTCCAGCTGTTTGTGTTGCTGTGGTTTACCTGAGGTCAGCTGGTCCTTGTTGCTCTCCACAGCAAACTTCAGTCTCTGAACACCTTTAGCTGTTTCTGTGGAGGACATCAGCAGGTGAGTCAGAGGGAGACAGCAGCAGGTGTCTCACCTGAACAGGTGTGTTACCTTTGGACAGCTGCTGGGTGGAGCTCTGTGACTTCGTAAGGTTGGAAACAGTTGTGTCCACATATGACAGTCTGCTCATGGTCTGTGTGTCTGAACACACACACAAAACACAAGGAGAACATGAGAAGAACATTAGGAAAACACATGGAAAACATGTTAAGAACATGAAGAGAACATTTTAAGAATACGAGGAGAACGTGAGGAGAATGTGGAGAACATTAGGGGAACATGTTAAAAACATGTGGAGAACATGTTCCACACACATTAACTTTGTTTTAATTTTACAAACATATTTTATTCTCCTTCAATCTTCCTCTTCTTTAATCCTTGGTTGGGTCTTGAGGAGCAACAGGTCCGAGAGAGAGTTTCAGACCCCTGTCTACTCAGTAACATCCTCCAGGTCCTCCTGGAGGTTTTGACCTTCTGGAGGTTTTCGACCTCCTGGAGGGTTTCGGCCTCCTGAAGGATTTGGACATCCTGGAGGGTTTCGACATCCTGGAGGATTTCGACATCCACAAGGATTTGGACTTCCTGGAGGGTTTTGACCTCCTAGAGGGTTTTGACATCCTGGAGGGTTTTGACATCAACAAAGATTTGGACCTCCTGGAGGTTGTCAACTAGCAGGAGGTTGAAACTGTCCTGGACAATTTTGACCTCCTGGACACCCAACGGGTCCTCTGGACGGTTTCTTTGTGTTGAGACGTTTCTTCTTTCATCCAAAAGACTTCTTCAGTCCGAGAAGCCACAACAAACTCAGTTTCATGAACCATGAAGCGTGTATTAATAAGACTGACTGAACTTTGTTGGATTTCTTTACCTGGATTATTGAGCATGAATTTTTATGTTTTGAACCACTTTAGCCATGGCTGCCTCAGACGAGTCTGCGGGGGAGAGGGTGGACTCCAGAAACCATCTGAGCACCATGAAACTGGTTGACCCACTATGTAAAGGTTCTGTGTACAAGATTGAGTTTGTTGTGGCTTCTCGGACTGAAGAAGTCTTTTGGATGAAAGAAGAAATATTATCAAAAAGAAGAAACCATCCAGAGGACCTGACTGAACTTTGTTGGATTTATCTACCTGGATTACTGAGCATGAACTTTGATACCTCCTGGACAGTTTTGATATCCTGGAGATTTCGACCTTCTGGAGGGTTTCAGCATCTAGGAGGTTTCGACCTCCTAGACAATTTTCGCCCCCTGGAAAATTTAGACATCCTGGAGGGTTTTCCCCTCCTGGAGAGTTTTGACCTTCTGGAGAATTCGACCTCCTGGAGAGTTTCGACCTCCTAGAGGGTTTGAACCTCTTGGAGGGTTTGAACCTTCTGGAGGGTTTTGAGCTCCTGGAGGGTTTCGGCCTCCTGAACTGACTCCTTTTGATGTGAAGACGCAGCAGCTTTCAAGACTGTCTTCAGTCAAAGAGCTAAAATAGGATCCTGGACTTGGAAGCCTCTCTTCATCATCTATAGGCTCTTCATCAGGGTCCAAAAGAAGAAGAGTCTTCCTTCCTCCTGTGGGGTCCCTCAAGTCCATAAGGGTGTACAGAGACCAGGAGTGCTTGATCCCAAATAAAGCTGGAGTTTGTTTAATTAATTATTAAACGAAGGACAGCTGCAGGAGACTTACTGAACTTCAGGGTCTGAGCCCCAGATTTTGGATCTCCTCCTGCTGAAGTCTTCACAGATCCAGACCCATCTGGGACTTCATGACCCAAACTTCTTCTCTGGTGTATGTAAGGTAATCCATACATCTATCAATCAACCCTGATGTCAGTTTTGTTCTCATGGATTCAGATCTCTCCAGGAGCTCATCAGCCTGACTCGAAGGCAAAGCCCCCCCCCCCACCCCCACCCTGCAGGAAGATAGTTTCAGCTGCTTGGATCCAGGATCTGGTTCTTCCAGTCCTGGTCCAAACCTCCTGACCACAGCTGAGGGTGGAACATAGACAGACCAGTAAACCCAGACCTTTGTCTTTCAGCTCAGCTCCTTCTTCACCATGGCAGACCGGAGCAATGACCTCATTACAGCAAACTAGGCTCTGATCTGTTGGTCCATATCTGGCTCCAATCAGACCATAACCCAGGACCCAGACTCCCAGATACCTGAAGTCCTTCAGTCCCCAACCCAGAGGGACCAGTCCACCTTTGATGGTCTATTTAGTTTTACTGAGATGTTCCAAAGACCCTTTTGGTTCAAGTAACATCTGAAAACATCTCCAGCTTCTCTTCTTCTCTGGATCCTGATGGTGGTCTGGTTCATGTGGATCTCACTCAGAACAGAATTCCAACATTGGACTCTGTTTGGTTCTGGTATTACTTCAGTTCGTTCCAGTTTTACTCTTGCACCCTTGTGTGAATGCACCCTAAGAAGGTTTGAGACGTTTCTGCACCTGTTCTACTCATCTGGTGGTTCTGGCCCATTTGTTCTGAAATGGACCAAATGGTTCTGAGAAATGATGGATCAAAGGCCAACAGGGTCCAGAGTTACCAAGTCACAGTTTGAAAACTGAACCAGGACCTGACTAGAACCCATAAAAAAAACACCCAAAAGTAAACCAAGGTCAGATGGTCATCATTAACTTCACGTATGCTCTCACACTGTTCATCTTCATCCATAAATCCCTCCTTGGTCTGCTGCCTTCTTATAACTCCTCCCATATGTCACATCGTCTGTGCAGTTACAGCGTGCGCTCTCAGGACATCATTACCTGCAGCGTTCCCTCAGTGTGGACTGAACTTGGAAAAAAGGCCTTTTCCTACTCAGCTCCTGCACCTGGAACACCTCGTAACAGGAACTAAAGTTGTCCTCCTTGATTTCTTTGTGGGGTTTCAAACATCTGATAACGTCAATAGAAAAATGAAGGCAGATATCTTCTTGTTTTTAGTGTTTCACCCTGTGTTACATCACCCCATTGTTTCATACACGACACTTATTTTAACTGTACTTTTACTGTAGTTTATTGTTGCCTGTTTAAATCAGGTCTCTCTTGTAACTGAGTCCTCGTGACTCGGTGAGACTAATCTGCAGAAATAAAGGTTGAACAAAAATAAGAAAGGACCAGAGAAAAGAGCAGCTTCAGTCTGGATCTGGACCACGGTCAGAACCAGAACCCAGACAAGGTGGGTTCTCCATGACTGTACTCACTGGTAACTGACACCACTATGATGAGGATCAAGATCACCGCAGCACCCAGACCCATGAACAACCAACGTCTGGACCTGGACACTCTGGATAACGGGCCTGGCCGAGGTTCTGATGGACAGACAGACGTGGTCAGATATCAGAACACACACACAGACCCACACACACCGACAGTACCTTTGTTCCAGAACGAGCTGCTGTCGTCCTCCATGTTGTCGTGGTATTCAGTGGTCATGGCGATGTCCCCTTTGTGTCCAAACTCGTCCTGGTCTCAATCGGCACAATGAAATTCTGAAAAGTGTCCGAGTCCAAACAGTGAGCGGTGGGTCAACGGCCACAGAAACGCACTTTGAACCGTGAGTGTGTAAATACACACTGACTCACAGCAGCTGAACATGAAATGTTCTGATTCATGAAATGTTCTGATGTTCTGATTCATGAAATGTTCGGAAATATGAAACATTCTGAAACATGAAACGTTCTGAAACATGGAACGTTATGGCTCATAAAATGTTCTGACTCATGAAACGTTCTGTACATGAAATGTTCTGAAACATGAAACATTCTGATTTATGAAATGTTCTGAAACATGAAACGTTCTGAAACATGA